AAAGGTTGCCTGTGTTTTTTGCAATGCTAAATGAAAATGACTTACTTTCAGGGTGAACACAGATTTGAATATGTCTCACATGTAAACTGAGGATGCTTGTTGGTCGCATCCAGCAGGAGATGCTAAGCATACTAATTTAGCAGAACTTGATACAATGATAAATGGCACAGTCAAATTGGATGCTGGTCATGCTCAACCCATGAAGTCCTGGTTGTAGACAGAATATTGCTAAGCTTTGATCTGCTTCTGGGAATCAATGCAATCTGGGAGCTTTGAGAAATGTGCATAACTAAATCTGGAGAAGTGTGCTTCTCTGAGAGATATACCCCAGTGTGCCACCATTTCCATTAGTGGTTTGTGATTTTAGTGTGCAATTCAATGATCAATAGAAGGTTTAGACTGCTTCATGAAAATGAGCCAGTGGTCAAACACCTGAAAAACTAAAAAACAGTGTGCCAGAATACACCATGCCTCATGCTGTCTGGGGCAAGTACAAATAAGAACAGCATCTATGGCTAGACAATGAATGATTACTGTCATTTCCCAAGAGTGAACTCGGTCCTGATTCCATTGATGGTGGTGATTCAGGAGAACAAACAGGGAATTGAATGATTTTGTGGAAGCATTCACTGTTGAGGTCGATGTATGTACCCAGATGTTGAGGGAATGGCAGAAACAGGGAGTGGAAGTATCCTGTTAGATTTGAGAAAAGCTTACCTACAGATACACGTTGACAAGACATTGTAGCCTTTTCAAACTGTGCTGATCAAGAGCAAGAGGTATTGTCTTATGCAATTGAGATTTGGCTTAAATTTAATATTTATGACAGCTATCATTGACTTGGTCATGTCCCAGAATGTGTCAATCAAAGATGCCACATCAGCTTACATAGATGACATCTTTGTTAACGAGGCCATGGTTTCTTCGACACAGGTAAGGGAACCACTATCCAGTTATTGACTCAATTTCAAAGACCCAGAGAAACTGGAAGATGGAGCCAATGTTTTGGCCCTGCAAATCTGGTGGGAGAATGGTACTCTCCAATGAAAGCAAGGATGTCCTGGAATTTACTGAAGTCATTATTCACAGAAGCATGTTTTCTCTTTGTGGATGTCTTGTGGGACACTTTTCTATATGTGGCAGGCTATATCAAGTGACAAGCAAGTGTGTTGCCTAAGGGAGGGGACAATACAATCCAGTATGCCTTCATCAATCGCATGCTTAACTGAGATAGTAACCAGGGTACATGAAATGGATCTTGTTGGTAGGGACTAGTGTGTGAGTGGCCACAAAATGAAAGTATAGGTGGATGCCAGTTCTTTGGCAATGGGAGTGGCACTGGAAGGGAATGGGGACATTGTAAAGCATCCTCAACAATATATTAAGCTTATTAAAAGCATCAATCTGGCCCTCCAATGGCAGATGACAGTCTTGCAACTTATTACTGACTCTGTGTGTGCTCATTACTGGATATCAGACACCCTAACTAGGAAGGCACATGTAAAGATGTTGATAACATGGCTGTTGGAAACATTTCATGTAGTGGCCGACGATTATACTGTGACAATGGATGTGATGCTGGTCAAATCTGCACTAAATTAAGCAGATTGCTTCACCAGAGTGTCCCAGAGGGGGTTACAGCTACACAAGGAAGGAATCAAACTAGGGTGTGCCCCTATAAAAAATTGAGTGAGTATCAGGTGGCCAATATCCACAGACAAAGTTGGCACCCAGGTGTGAAGAGGACATTTGTATTTTGCCAGGTTTGTCAATCCTTCAGTATTAATAATAGTCACAAAGAAATGTGAAGCTTGCCAATCTATTGACCCAGCAGCTATACATTGGCAGCAAGGAAAGCTAGGAGTGAAAAATAGGTGGAACAGGTTAGCGATGGATATTATGCACTACTTCCTAACCCTTATTGATTGTGGTTCATCTCGATTTACAATATGGTAATTGCTTTGTCAACAAAACTCCACCAGTGTCACTAACCAATTAACATGAATCTTTTTTGAGCAGGGTCCACTGACCAAAATCTTAATTGACAACAACCCAGCTTTCACTTGTGGACACTTCAGAAAATTCTTCAGCTTCAATTCCAATGTGCATATGCACCAGCCAGGAATGGTATAGTAGAAAGGAGTCACAGAAGCATTAAAACAGTTGCTGCTAGAAAGCAATGCTCCATAGCAGAAGCAGTTTACTAGCATAATGCCATGCATAAGGACAACCTCTCACCTTCTATAGCACACTACATAAGTATCACATCTACATATGGGACATTGATGCAATGCTTCCACCCGAATCATGGAATACTTGAGGAGCATACAAGATGGGGGATATTGTCTGAGTCAAGACTCTGCAAGAGAGGTGTATGACTAAGTTTAAGATGGGCTGCTAAACCAAGTTTGACAGTTCTCAGTCAGTACAGATTGACGGAATTCAACATCTTGTGAAAGACTTTCATCCCTTTCCCTTTCAGGAGTTGTACTCTCTATGTGATTATGGAGGTGATTCTACAGAAAGTAAGATGTTAGTTGACTTGAGATCAACTTCACCAGCAGCACAGTGTCTGATTCATTACCCAATGAGTCAACCAGTGGTGATTCATGTAAAGATGAAGCTTATGTTCCCCCCTACCCCACTGAGAGGAGTATCTGGCAGAAGAGACCTCCCCCTGGTTACATTTGCTGTGATCATGAGATTAGTATGAGGGGAGTGTAGTGAATTACCACAGAGGGCAAAGAGGCCCAGGGTTGCATACATTTTTTGCAATGCTAGAAGAAAATAACTCCAGGGTGAACACAGATTCAAATGTGTCTTGTGTGTAAACAATCCAAAAAGGAAAATGCTGACTTCATGGGTTACATTTAAAATAGATAAATCCCAGAGTCAGATACTATCTTGAGAGTACCTTTTCACATATGTAAATTTTGGCAGTCAATAAGGACATTAAAAGGACATTGTGAGGTGACTGGTAGATGGTTACTACTATATCAAGTAGGAGACATGCATTGCAGAGAAATTAACTAGATGAGAATTGTTAACAAGTTAGAGAAGAAAATACACCTTTTGCTACATGTTTTTATTTACTTCTTTTTGTAGTTAAACTAATTCATCATGTTTGCATTTTGTGTAAGCAAAATCTTTTTGCTCAGTTGATTTCAAGTTTAAATAGAAAGAAATACAAATAGGAAAATTTTGTTGTGTCATTCTTCCAAGTGGGAGAGCCCACCTGCCTTAATTTTTGCTGCATGAAAAACCAACACCTGAAATCTTTGTTCAAACATTACCAACTGGTACCAGTGTAAGATGTTGAAATATATCAGCTATCAAGCAGCCTATGTTATTAATATTTCTTCTTTCTTTCTTGTCTCAATTTGTGAATTACTTTGGTGATAACTTCCACAGAAAGACATGAGATCAAATGAAATTAACTTTAAATGCTAAAATAAGCATACATTCTGAATATTTATTATTATACTGAATTATTTTTAGTTAAAAGAATTGACCTAGTCAACATTTCTATACAAATTCCTATTGCCCCAGTAGACAGTTCAACAATGTTTCAAATTTGGGCCACAAAAAAAAGGTGTGTCAAAAGGACAGTTTGATATTATTTGAACTAGCTCCACTCCTCAGCAATGTTTATTGTTTTAAAAAGTGATGATTAGTATTTTAATAAAACCTAAACATATGACAGTGAATTCATACATTTTCTTTGTCCTTCAAAATTTCCAACAAACATATTAAACATTATTATATTATGTAAAATTCCTGTTGCTCTTATAGAGAGTTGTATGTAAATCCCTTTTGCTCCAATTAGAAGTTCTATGTAAATTCCTGTTGCCTCTATAGATAGTTGTATGTAAATTCCTGTTGCCTCTATAGATAGTTGTATGTAAATTCCTTCTGTCCCAGTATACAGTTCTATATAAATTCCTGTTTATTCAAAAATCATATTGATTTTATTTATATGTAATATTTGACAAAGTTTTAATATATCATAATAAATTATATTAATTATATATATTCACTGTTTATCTTTAGCTGGGCATGCTTTATTTTTCTAACCAAAACTTATTTTAATTAATTTTAATTTAATTAATTTTAATTAATTTAATTTTTTTTCTTATGTTTAATTTCCATAGGTACATTTTATTTTAATATATTTCCTATGTGCAAATCTCATTTATTTGTTCATGGATATATTTTTAAAGTTTCTATTAACTGTAATTTCAAAATGGCTGTGGTGTTTTGTCTGCCATGTTTGCCATGGTAATGACTTTTCCTTACAGTTTTCATTTCTGTTTTGAAACTACACAAAGTAGTAAAATATTAAATAACATTTTTCAGTATTGAACTGGTTTTCACATATCCCATTTATTTCTAATACATTGTTATACATTTTTTCTACCTGTTAGTAATAATAAGCTTAAATACTTTTTAGCTCTAGAATAGCTAAAAATTACTTTCTTAAATAGACAATAGGGATTTGGAAAAAACAGATTTATAATTTTTGCTTTATGTTGTGTTGGTAAAGGTTAGTGTAACAAAAGAAGAAATCAGTAAGCCATTCAAATTCTAGCCAAGTTAATTGTATTTACTTTTGCACAAATACCTTTGGCAAAGGTGTTAATCTTTCTCTTTTTCCTCCAGCTATGGATTAAATAACAAGGCAAGCTTGTGATCTCTAACTTTGGTTGGCAACCAGTCTAGAGAAGTAAAACAAACTTTATTTAAATGTCAGTTCTCTTAATCATCAGAAGTTGTCAAAAACACTTCAGTATAACCCTGACAACTCAACCCTGTAATGACCGACATGCTGGAGAAACCACAGCAGCAACAGCAACAGCAAGACTGTGGCCTTATGTGCCAAGGAGGAGTCTAAAGAAGGATTGATTACTTATGAATAGATTTTTGTTTAAATATGAACATTTTTTTCCCTTTAATTTAACTGGAATTTCCATATTATTTTCTGATAATCTTTTTTTTTTCAGTGAAGAAAATGTACAAAGTGACAGTAGAAGTTGTCTATCCCATTTCTAAAGCCAATAACAAAAATTTTAAAGCTCGATTTTCAAAGCAGGTAAGTTGGTCTTAGAATAACTTTGGTTCTTTCCACAATTTTTTTAGTGACATAAGCATGCAGTATACATAGGATTTGCTTTTAAGAAATGCTGTCCATTTTATAACCACATAACAAGTTTGTTTTCCTTCTGTAATGATAGAGTTTAATAAAACTTAGTGCCATTTAATAACAGCTCTGACAAAAAATGCTGATAAAATGTTATCTGATCCTCAATCATACAGATACAGTAATGTCTGGTAAAACTCAGCTAATGTTTAGCATTTAATCATAGTTAGTTGCTTTATATTTTGGTACATATTTACTGTAGTTAAAGGAACATTATTTCCTGAAATATATACTTTTTTGTTACAATTTAATTTCTTTATATATCTCATATTTCTTATAAATCATAAGTTTTCAACTGGACTAAAACAGTATAGTGAGGAGACATTGACATTTTATTGGACCTTGTCAATTTTACTTTGAGACCTTATCAAAAAATGGCTTCAAGTGAATGAACCTTATGATTCTGGAAGACTTTCAACAGCAGCAACAATGAAAATGGATAGCGCATTTAACTGGTAGAGAAAATGATTACATAATAAAGATGTTGATGTTCAACACTACTTTAAATGAAAGGTTAATAAAGAAACCTCCATCAGCTTTAGAAAAAGCAATAACAATTAGTGGACTTGAGAACCCTATTTTCCTGGAAAACTGTTTTAAGAGAATGACTTTATAAATGTCAATTGATAGAAGGTTAATTCTTCAGTCAATGAATGCCAAATGTTTCCTTATAAGGAAACAGCTAATCTTGCCATAACATATCACATAATGTTGATTTTAAAAGTAATGGTCTCCAATTCTGCGACTGGTATGCTGCTCAGCAGTGAGCAATTGTTTCATTGCATATATCTATATCCCACTCTTGAAAAATACTTATTGATTGTTTTTATAACAGTTAAAATTCATTATCAAATGTAATGAGTTTTAAGTTTTGAATTTTAATTTTTTTATTTTCTGTAACACTAGAGAAAATGGCTTACCTCCTGTATATTTTTGCATAAAAATACAATTGTGGCACATGGACAAAAGAGGAAGCGAGGTGATGTTGGTTGTTACTCACTATCCTAAACCTAACTAATCTGATTCATTACCCATTCATTTGTCACAATTTCACAATCACCACAAGAATTCATTCATCTCTATCTATAAAGGCAGGATGTGTGTGTGTGTGTGTGTGTGTGTGTGTGTGTGTGTGTGTAACGAATGCACGGCCGCAATTTTTGATGGATTTGCATCAAAATTTACATGCACATGCTCCAAGTTAGCAGGAAGGAAAATTTTCCTGACTCCCATCGATAGTGGAAATAATCGATTTTTTCATGCTTCTACGGCAGTTTTCATGTAATTTGCAGCCATTTCCTACTGGCCAGAGTGAGAGCCTATAGCTGGCTGCCATGAATAGGCAGGAAGATTCTATTGGCCAGCGTGAGAGCCAACAGCTGACTGACATGAATGTTAACTAGCATGCTAGCATGCCAAAAAAAACGATAGCTGCATTCGCCACAAGTGGGAAAAATTTAAATCTGCATGGCACTTTATTTCAATTGGCTCATTCGCTTGCTTAAACTCAATGTTGATTCTGATTCCGCAGAACTGGGTTGGGTGTGAAAAAGTATTTGTTGTTAACATTCTTTTTTTCATTCGGTTTTTCCAGTTACGAGTCCTTTTTTAAAGCTGATCGTTTTGTGTTCATTTTGTTTAGTTCTTTTTCATAACAGATTTAATGTTTAGCATAGATCTTAGAAAAAATTTGCAGTGTGAGATAGGCAAGAAGTAAGGCATGTAGCACTTCTTTAAAGGCAAGGAAGGGCAAAAATATTTTAAGTGATAGCGATTGCTATATGAGTCATACGATGTTTGAATCAAGCATGGGCAACACCGGGCCATGCTCCTAGTTTAACATAAACCACAATACTGCATATTCAAAATGCTACTAAAACACCCATGTCATAAAAATTTTACAATATATACAAAAGTCTTTTGTAAATTTTTCTTTTTTCCTATAAAAATATATTGCATGAAATGAATGAGGAACCCAAAAACAAAAATAAAATACAACAAAACAGTCAAACTAAAAATAAAATATATTAGTAGGGGCTGTTCATCCAACAGTATTCTGCCCACTCACTAAGGGCAAAATAAATTGTGGAAGTGGAAAATCAAAAACTGTCCCAGTCAAGATAAAAGGAGGGAATAAAAACAAACTGGGGCGGTTGGGAATCTTGACATGGATCATAACAAAAAGAGAATGCTGGGAGCAGGCCAGGAACAACAATTGCTCACATTAAGTAAACAAAGAGTCTATTCTTTACCAGAGGAGGGTTTTTTGTTAAAAAGGGTACTAAAAAAGAAAATCAAGACTGTCCCCATTCATACAAACCAGGCTTGCCACTTTTACCCATATTTCATTGAAATCTGCCAATAGCAAACACTTTTTGTCAGTCCTGATCTTCATCTTAGGCTTATGCCCAAAGAAGCTAGCCAGATCCTGATGAGAATAAAATGTTTGTATCGTAAGATTTCCTCCATACATGTCATCCACACATCTATCCTTGCTATGGCTAGCAGTGTCAGAAAAAACATTTTTTCACCCCCTGAAAACAGGGGTGACATATTATCACATGCATATGCTAGATCAATGGACACATGATGTTTGGGATTGATACAAGCCATCAACTTGCCGACATGCTTCCAGAACAGGTGCACCTGAGAACAATGATGGAAGGCGTGCACAACCATTTCTTCTAAACCAAGTTCACAATGATGACACTCAGGCCCACTCTGAAACCCACAAAAATTACAAATTCAAATAATTTAAAAAGAAAACAAAACTGAAAAAGAAAATTCAAAAACGTCCAAAACTAGTCAAAATAATAAAAACGTAATACAAACTTTGACTTCAAAGAGTTGATCCGCGGGTTAAATGTGACTGAACTTGTCTGAAGACTAAGAAATAAACAATAACCTTTCAGAGAAAAATATTCACAAAAAGAAAAATAAAAAAGATAGATCTCAGAGTCAGATACTTTGATGAGACTCTCTTTCCACCTATGCAAATTTGGTCACTCAATCTATAAAAAGTGCTAATAGAGGCAATAGTGGGAGAAGTCACAACTCGGTTGTGGTCCAGAGACTATGAACATATTGTAATATTTGTTCCATGAGCTTGACCAGCTAAGACAAGCTTTGTAAATTTTGACCAGTGTCCCAAGTGTATGCACTCGGGTTCCCCATGTTAAATAATTGACCTTGTGTTGTATCTGAAACTCAGTGGGGAGTCTTTGGTAAATACTGAAGTGTGACTGTGGCAGCAAACAAGAGACATGTGTTGGGTTGTTTGACTTACGCTACTCTGTTGGTTGAAGGGGAACTTTATTACCAGAAGAAACTGACTACATTATCTTTGGAAGAAGAAATTGACTTACATTATCTTTGGAAGAAGAAACTGACAAAACTTTGATTTCATTTTTTATGTCCCTAACTTTCCTTCTTTTTTTGTTTTAATTCAGATAAATTCAATCTACCATCAAGCACTTAAAACTTCCCAGATGCAAATTGATATAAATAAATTAAGGTAAGTCAGTTTTAGTGTAGAGTTGAAAGTAGTTTGATTTACCAAAAGAAATGTACTCAATGAAAACACATAAAATAGTAATATTTTTATTTAAAGAAATAGTGCTTAAACAAAAATATCTAAAAAAAATCTTTCATCATCTAGCATAGTCAACTCAAAGTCAATTTGATCAATATATATCTTCTTATCACTTTTAAACTGATAATTTTTTTACATAGTTTGTGACCTTAAAGTTTGTATTTTCTTGATTTCAAATGAAAACTTGAAAATTTTCCAATATATTTCAGTGAAAATTTCACTTATATTAAATTTATTTATATATTATATTAAATGTTTATAATTATAGTTATAATATAGGAAAAAAAGTGTGTTAGTGTGACAAATATTTGAACTCCTTAGCATGAAATACAGATTTATAAGCAAGTTTCAATGATATTTTTCCTCACTGAGTGCCCCATACATTTCTCCCCCAAAATCTTACGTTTTTACTGCCTGTATTATTTCAGACCTGGTTACACCTACAATGAAACTCTGGTGGAGTTTACTCTGACATTTATTGAGTATCTGCATCCTGAATATGGAAAGGAACACATCAACAGTTATGATGTAAAGAGGGTTATTGAGGATTCCTTACACAATCGAAAGTTGGGAAATCTTCCAGCCTCACATCGAAATTTTAGCTTTGAAGAAAAAGGTAAAATTCGATGAAATAACTTCTTTTTTTTAACAAAAAGAAGTGCATTTTTTTTTCATTTGCATGTGTAAAATTTCAAGCCAGGTTTAAATGACAACCATGTTTAAGAACAAAATGACCACTTCACCATTTATGACTGCTATTCCGTATTTATTTAGAATAGGCAAATAGTGTCACGGTTATCGATATGGAAAGTGAAATTGTTGTGCTGAGTTCAAATTCCAGTCAATTCTGTTTCATTCACTTTGCTCTAATTCCCTTGAAAAAAGCATGAATACATTTTTCTCCAGCTATGGATTAAATAGCAGGGCAGGCTGCGCTTACTTTCCTTGATGTGGCAACCAGTCTAGGAGAAGGAAAACTCTGAATTCAAAATCAAACTGAATTGGAATAGGATTCAACAAGCTATCTTGCCTTAGAAACACAACTATTGCTACAGCTGCAATATATGTGGTGTCTCTATGACCCTAAATGGATTACAGGATTTATGTCATATGAAGTATTTATTTATATACTAGCATAGTACAGGACAAATTTGGCAGGATCAATTGCATATATTTAAATTATACAAATATATATATATATATATATATATATATATATTTGGAATGATATGAGTTTGTGACCCATGGGTTTCACGTTTTTGCGATTATCAGACAAACTGACAATCAAAATTATAAAATTTAATTAAATCACATCAATCCAACTAAATATGTTAGCTCTATCTCTGATATTGAGCGCTTTCTAATAAATACCTCACATATAATATATAAATAATATATATAATATACTCACACACACACACACACATATATATATATATATATATATATATATATATATATATATATATATATATATATATCAAATATATGTTTCATATTTTTTATTTTTTAAAAACTATATATATTAATATTTTTTAACATTTAAAAAGCAGCAGCAGCAGTTGCCTACTTCCAGTAAACATAGAAAAACAATAAATTTTGTGTTTGTTTTCCTTTTCTTTTTTTCCATTCAGTATAATGAAAAGAAAAAAGTTATAAAAATTCCTTCAAAGTTGATGATGGTATCAAGATAGATTCTGCGAATTATTGAAAATTCCTGAATAAGAAATGATACAAAATCATAATCAAAAAGCTTTAAAGGAAAGACTATATTTATGCAAGACAATGCTCATTCACATTCTGCAAAACTTACTATTGACCACCTTGCCATGAAAAATTAAAAAATAAAAATTCATGGAATATTCCATCAGCCTCTTCAGATATTAATTCAATAAAAAATTTGTGATTCATCATTTAATGTAATGAGTCATTTTGTATCAAATCAACAAGAGTCTGACCATCACCGACACAGATTTTTTCAAATTTGTTACACTTATAGAGCTTCATGATAGAAGTTGAATGGTACCTATTTTACATCTCTAGGTCAAAGGGTTCCCGAGATATGACACTTTGACTAAGAAAAAAGGTGAATTTTGGTAAATAGTCACAAAGTTTAAGTATCAATGTCTCGGTTGCATTTTTACTCACAAAGCTACATTATAAACCATTTTAAAGTACTTGGATAGATCTAAAAGGTGATCTGTTTATTTTTTGTTTAAAGGTCAAATAAGATAAGGAAACCTTGACTTGTTTCTTTGAAACAATTAATCAATCAAAAAATGGTTCTTTAATTTTTTTTAAAATTTGAAACAAATTTGTCTGCTTTATGGCAAGATATGTACAAAATTCTCTTTCCTAAAATATTTGAAACATTTTCCAGGTTGTGCCAACTCCTCTCTGCAAAATTTTCACGGCCGAAACTGTCTGTTTCTTTTACTTGGGGCCTTCTCATCTTCCAAACAAAAATTCCACATGACTTACAAAAACCGAAAAAGTAACCCTAAACCAGCCACTAAAAAATCACCTAAACCCCTCAACATTTCGTTCTCCAACATCCGTGGCAGAAAAGGACTAATTTTTCTGCAATATTAATCTTTCCTCACTGCAAACTACCCGGGTATTTATTTTTCTCTGTGACACCAACCTTGTCTCGTCTACCCTCTTCTGATCTCTCGATCCCCGGCTACCTTCCTCTCCTCAGAAAAGACTCTCTAACCCACATGCACGGCTTTGGTGTCTACGTCAATGGGAACATTTCCCTCTGGCCAGAGAGAGTTCTCTCTCGAATCTCCAGACCAGTCATACATGTGTCTTGACTATCTCTCTCAATGCTCATAAGCTATCTCTTAAAATCTTTATTATCTCCATCCTCTCATGATATGTGAAACTCGATAGCATTTCTGACAGCATAGACAAGGCTCTCTCCCTCCACCCGTTTGCTCACATTTTTGTGTTTGGCGACTTTAACGCCCATAAAACCTTTAAAACTTTTAAGATTGCTACTACTGACCACGCAGGCATTCAAATGCTCAAATTTTTCAATTTTTCAATCCAAACGCAGATGGTTGACTTCCCCCACATTTTGCCAACAACTGGGATGGTAAGGCCTCTATCTCGATCTATGTTTTTACCTCCATTCCATGGGTCTTTTAGCGCCACACAGCTCTACCCTCTTAACTCCGATCATGTGTCAACATCTCCTTCAACTCCACCCCCTGCAAATAGAGTCCTACCACCAAAGAACCTCGTTCTGCTATCAAAAAGCAGAATGGGACTTATTTCATAAATTTCCTTCGCGATGTATATTAGGATGTTGTCTTTATGCTCCCCGTTCAAAAAAAAATGAAAAAGGTCTCCTCCTGGGTTAAAGCTACAAATCAACCTTTCATCCCTCAATAATATAAGGTCATATCGCGCTCCCCCCATTTCTGTCTTGCTTGCTCAGCCGCCATGAAACTCATGGAACAAACTTCTTCCACCTATGATGACAAAGACATGTCTGACTACAATAGACGTCTCTTTGCCTCTGCCCGGAAGGTAAAGCCTCTCTTCTCAACCTGTGTTTTACCTCCATCCCCGAGTCCTGCAGCGCCTCGCAACTCTGCCCTCTTGGTAACTCTGATCATGCGGTAGTATCTGTTAGCATCTCCTTCAACTGCACCCCCTATAAAGAACCTCCTACCACTAGAACTTTGTTCTACTATCAACGAGCTGACTGGGACGCGTTCCGTGATTTCCTCCGCGATGTCCCCTGGGATGGAGTCTTTACGCTCCCCGTCCAAGAATGTGCTTCTGAGGTCTCATCCTGGGGTTAAAGCTGGCATCGACGCTTTCATCCCATCAAGGAAATATAGGGTCAAGTCGCGCTCCTCCCTCTGGTTCTCCGCTGCTTGCTCAGCCGCCATTGCCCATAGGAACCACTACTTCCACCTATTCAGTAGCAACATGTCTGACTGCAATAGATGTCTCTTTTTTGCCTCCGCCCGTAATGAGTGTAAGCGTGTCTTCAACGATGCTAAGTCACTATTTGCGGCTCGGATGAAGGAGCGTATTGCATCTTGCAAATTTGGCTCCAAAGATTATTGGCGTCTCTGCCAGAGCATATTGTACCATTGCAAACCCTCTATATCTCCTTTATTCAACCAGTTCGAAGTCCTGACCTCCTCTACCAACAAGGCTGAATGCTTTGCTCAGAAATTTTCATTTAACTCGATGCTCGACTCTTCCGGTGTACCCATACCCGACTTCCCTCTTAGAACTGAGGCCCCTATTGACTTTAAATTTAAACATATATTAAATCATTGGTACTGGGCGTTATCTCCAATTTAGACCCCAACAAGGCTAGTGGTGGTGACGGGATACCAGCCATTGTCTTGAAGAAATGCGCGCCTGAATTGACGCCCGCCCTTTCTAAACTATACAACTACTGCCTCAAGGAATCTTGTTTTCCTGACTGCTGGAAGTCCTCTTCGATTGTTCCTGTTTTCAAGAACTCCGGCGACCCCTCTGACCCTTCCAACTACTGTCCTATCAGTCTCCTTCCCTCTTCGGCAAAGTCTTTGAAGCCCTAATCAATACCGAGGTGGTTAACCACCCACATCCCATAATCTGCTCTCAGACAAGCAATATGGTTTCCGCTTTGCCCAATCTACAGCTGATGTTTTTACGGCCATCATTGAAACTGTCTACCGAGCTCTTCAAAATAACGGGGAAGCCCGTGCCGTGGCCCTAGACATCTCAAAGCATTTGATAGGGTTTGGCATATGGCCTTCTTCGCAAGCTCCAGGGTTATGGCATTACGGGTCGATTGTTTAACCTAATACAATCATTCCTGTCAAACCGTGAATTGAAGGTCGTTCTCAACGGATTCTCATCCAGTTCCTATCCCACGAACGCAGGTGTTCCTCAGGGCTCCATCCTAGGCCCCACTCTATTCCTTATCTACATAAATGACCTTCCTGACGCCATAAATTCCCAAGTTGGCATCTACGCGGATGACACCACAATTTATTCCTGCCTCAAAAACAAATCTAGTGTCATGGACAGAACTACCTTGGCCGTGCGTCTCGAAAAGGACTTCCAATCGGTTGTGAACTGAGGCAAGAATTGGCTGGTCAACTTCAACGCTTCCAAAACAAAACTGCTCTCTATTAATGACCACAGAGATCCTTCCCTGCCCGCCCCCATTAGAATGTCTGACGCTCAACTTCTCGAAAGCAACTCTCTGCGGCTGCTCGGTCTCACGTTGACTGCTGACCTGAGATGGAATAAATACATTGAGTCAATTGCTTCGTCCACCGCAAGGAAAGTTGGCTCCCTGTGCCGCGCCAGGAAATTTTTCTCCCGGAATCGATCCTCCAGATCTACAAATCAACAATTCGCCCTTGCATGGAATATTATTTGCCATATATGGTCTGGTGCCCTTCTGTTTGCCTCGGGGTTCTTGATAGGCTCCAGAGGCGGATATGCAATATAATTGGCCCTGCTCTGGCATCTCGTCTACAGTCACTTTCTCACAGACGCGCCGTCGCCTCCCTCTGTCTGTTTTACAAATACTTTCATGGAAATTGCTCCGAGGAGTTGCATTCGCTGGTTCCCAGACGTCATGAGTTCTGG